CCGCGCCGCGGCGAGGGCCACGAGCGCCTCCTCGTCGCGGCCGCGCGCCGCGAGCGCCGCCGCGAGCGACGCGCGCCGCGCGCGGCGCCCGCGGCCCGCGGCCGCGACGACGACGGCCGCGCCGTCCTCGACGGCCCCCGCGAGGGGCGCGGCGGCGTCGACGGCGTCGCCGTCGACCTCGAGCACGCACGGGGGCAGCGGCGCGCCGTGCTTCGCTTCGAAGCGCGCGGCGTAGAGCTCGAGCACCGCGCCGCAGGCCTTCGACGCGAGCCAGGCGCGCGGCAGGCGCACGGTGAACATGGCCCGCGGCTCGAAGGCGTTGCAGAGCGTGACGCGGGCGGCCATTCGACGGATCCCACCTTTCAGGGAGGGCCCACCATCGTGCGGGCTGCTAGCGTCAACACCGACTTCGCCGCTGCACACGAGCCGACGTTGCATAGCCTCGCCTGCTCGCGCGCATAGCCTCGCCTGCTCGCGCGCATAGCCTCGCCTGCTCGCGTCGCATCGCGCCGCACCGGCCCCAGTCGCACACGCGCCGTCCCGTCGGCGCGCGGCGCGCGCACCGCCATGTCGCGCGCGAGCGGCCCGGACCTCAAGAAGTACATGGACAAGGCGCTGACCATAAAAATGAACGGGAACCGGCGCGTGAGCGGCGTCCTGCGCGGCTACGACCAGTTCCTCAACCTCGTCCTCGAGGACGCGACGGAGGACGGCAGCGACGGCGCCAAGACGCCCATCGGCATGGTCGTGCTCCGGGGCAACGGCATCATCCAGCTGCAGTCGCTCGAGCGGCTCTCGTGACCGCCCCCCCGCGCGCGGCGTAAGGTCGACGGGCGCGGACGGTGCGGCGGGGGCGATCGACGGGCGCGGACGGTGCGGCGGCGCGTCGCCGGAGCCGGCGGCGGACCCCGGCGAGCGGCCCGCGAGCGGCCCGCGGCGCGCCGGCGCCGCGCGTCGCAGAGTCAGCACCACCCGGGTGGTCCGCGCGCGGATAGGGTCGTTAGGCGCGGGGCCAGAGAGACGCCGCGAGCAAGCTGAGGAGCGGCGGACGGCGACGAGCGCGAGGCGGCCGCCGCGCGGCCGCCGCCGCTCCCGCGTCCGCGGCCCCGGCGGCGCCCGCGCACGCGGCGCGCGCGCACGCGGCGCGCGGCGCGGGCGGCTTCGCGCGCGGCGACCAGAAGTCCCGCGTCGCGTTGCCGCAGGCGCGCGCGTAGAGCGCGGC